GGGGTGCCGCGCGCACATGCACTCGCACACAAGTGATGCGGCGCATTAAAAAAATAGAAAAACAAAAATGTCCTCATTGTGTTCAGCCTCTTTTCGAAAGGATCCCTAGAGCATATTAGCTAGGCCCCGACGTCATGCAGAGATACACTTCAACCTTGTACTCCCTGAGGGTGGCCAGACAATATATAGTCTGGATTTGAATTCAGGTCTGTGCATGTCGGTTATGGGTCACCATTTCTCTGTTTTTGCGCTTTTCTTTTCTTTTCTCGTTTTTCTTTTCTTAGGAATACGTGCAGTGGCCCTAAGGCTTTACTCACCAAATGCTCAAAAGACAAAACATATGGTGGCGTATTATTCCACGTTCTGCAGAAGATTTATTCTAATTTTGCACATTTCGTGAGTAGTGCAGTCAAGCCCTAAGAGTCACGTGCAGAGACCAACAGGCCCTATCTACACGAGCAACCCATAACTGCTGAAACACAGACCTGAATTCGAAATTTGACTTCGTATTCCGCCAGCTCGTGCTCTCTTTCATATTCACTACCTGCCTCGATTTTGGTGGGGGGGTCTGCGCTACATGTCTGTGAGGACCCTTTGGATAGCCTGCATGGGCCGTCTGAGCCGTGTTAAGGGGAGCCGTTATGTCTCTCTCTCTCTCTCGCCCCCCCTTGTATATAGGACTATACACACACACCCCTTACAAAAAAAAAAGGAAGGAAAAAATGCATCTGCGCCCCATCACAGACACCCCCCCAACCCCAGCACCCCCCACCCAGACCAACCCCCGCATCCCCACACCAAAACCAAAATTTTATTGCAGATTCGGGGTCCTCTCGCCGAGCGCAGAACGACCCCGGTTTCAAAAAAAAAAATAAAAAAATTCTGGGCGTTTTTTTGTCCTGCCCGGTTTACCCGAGCGCGCCCCCCAGGCCCAACCGGCTGGGCCCAGCCCGGCAGGGCAGGCCTGGCCGGGCGGTGTCCTCACTCAGCAAACAGATACAATCATACAAATATTTTTTGGATTTTTTTTCCTGAGCGTGAATAATGCTGTATGCAAGGGATGGCAAATGAATTTGAAGTCCCAAAATGTGGAATGCTGGAGAGTCCCGGCTCCCGAGGCAACAAAAATGAAAAAGAGAAAACAGGTAGAGAGAACAGGAAAATTGAGGAAGAGAGAAAGTGGCGGCAGTGGAGCATCAGAGTCAAAAACAAAAACAAGGAGGGGAAAAGCTAATGCCAAGAGAAGCGCAGGAAGAAGGAAGCTTAAGGCAGAGGATGAGAGAAGGGAGAACGTAGGGACGGAAGAGTGAAGGGAGATGACAGAGAGGGAAAATGAAGGAGAAGAGATAAGATGGGAGGAGATGGGAGGAGACGGGAGGAGGACCAGGACAAGGGAGAACAAGGAGAATATGGGAGGAAGGAAATGGGAGGAGACGGGAGGAGAAGGAAGGAGATGGGAGGAGATGGGAGGAGATGGAAGTAGGTGCAGGACAAGATGGGAACAAGGAGGAGATAGGAGGAGATGGAAGGAGATGGACGGAGGAGCAGGAGAAGGGACAGCAACAAGGAGGAGACGGGAGGAGATTGGATGAGACGGAAGGAGATGGAAGGATGAGATGGACAAGGGAGTACGAGGAGGAGATCGGAGAAGGAGCAGGGAAAGGGAGGACAAGGAGGAAATGGGGGGAGATTGAAGGAGATGGGAGCAGATGGGAGTGAGCACCGGACAAGGGAGAACAACGAGTTGACAGGAGAAGGATCAGGGCAAGGGAGAACACGAAGGAGATGGGAGGAAGCGGATGGCAGGAGATGGGAGGAGATGGGAGGAGATGGGAGGAGATGGGAGGAGATGGGAGGAGATGGGAGGAAAAATGGGAGGAGATGGGAAAAGGTGGGAAAAGGTGCGAGGAACTCGGAGGATGAGTAGAACAAGAAAGACGAGGGAGGAGAAATGATGGATGAGCGCGGAGCTAGAAGAGAGAGGGCACAGAGGGAGGCAGGAACTAGGAGCAAACCTTGAAAGGGTAGTCCCATCGAAAACCATCAAAAGAGATGAGGATAACGGTCGATTGGTCCAGCTTCTTAAGAGGACGAGCACGAAATGCCGTAAGGGTATTTGAGAGATTGACACTAACTCCCATCCAAAATCCACATAGCCCAAAACTGATTGCCACAGACGCAAAGAATGCGCAGAGAGCGATGACCGAGGCTCTGGTCAGCCACGTCCAAGAACCGGACGGTTTCCTCTGATTTCTGCCAAGGGGGTATAACGGCAGGTCCTCGTCATCGGATGAAGCCCCCATCCTGAGAGGCACATGATCAACGCCCCTCATCGTTTTCATCGTCAGGTCATCAGCACCCGCCACGCCAGGCCTGTCATCCCGGTCTCGAAAAGGTGCTTCTTCCATTGCTCTCTTTTTCTTCCCCGCGAGGTATCAACACCGTGAGAGAGATTACAGTGTTGGACCCCTCCTCTTCCTCTGAATTGACATTACCTACACCCAAGCAAAGACGACAAACAATCATGAATTAATGTGCATGTGCCAACCGGCCGCCACCCAAGTGATCGGCCCCACATGCCTTTGTCTGCCAATCAAGCACCAATCAGACTGTCAATTGCTTTTATTTTATCTTTTGTATTCATTTAAATTCCTGCCGCTCGACCTCAGAAACGTTGCATCAGGCTTGGAGGTCGTGGTGGTTTAAACTTTAAATAGGATTTTTATTTTTTTGAAAACTTCCCCCCTTTTTTTTCTTTTCTTTTTTTTCCTTTTTTTTCCTTTTTTCTCTTTTTTCCTTTTTTTTTTTTTTCTCTTTTTCTTTGCTTTTTTTCTTTAACCCCGTGCTGCCAGTGCCGGTGTGCTACAGGGGTGATATGAACACCCCCCTCTAGCAGCACCTGCTGTGGGTAGCTCCGGTCTATTGGTCAGGAGCAACACCTGCTGGAAACCGGGCCCCAGCGGCCCATAGAGATCTATTTGTCTTTTTTTTTTTCTTTTTTTTTTCGGTGTACCTACCCACTGAGCTAGGCCAGTTGGTTTTTTCTTTTTTGGGGGGGGCCGTGGGGGTGGTTCGCCAGAGATCAGGAGACAGCCCTTATACCGTAATTATAATTGCACCGTGGGCACAATATGACTCACGGCCGCTTTAACAGGTCAACCTTTCCCGTATGATCCAGGCACTCCGGCTTGCGGCCTGGTTCATACCGCAGTCGCCTTTTCATTATACAGGCCGGAACACGGGTCCGGCGTCCCTCACATCAAAAACATAGTTCCTGACCAAGGGGAATGTAACGAACGACCTAGGAAAGCTCAGAGAACGGCCAACCAAAACAAAACCACCTAACACTAAAACAGACTAAGAACGCAGCACTAAAACAGCTAGGCTACCAGAGAGGCCTGGGTCCACTTGCCCGGCCGGGTCAAAAATAATAAAAAATAATAATAATAAATTAAAAATTTATTGTAAATTTGGTAACGAGTTTCTTTCTTTCTTTTTTTTTCTTTTTTTTTTTTTCACACAGTCTCTTTTTTTTATATAACCGGGAAACGGGCCTGGTGTCCCTTACATCATTTGCTGCGGTCAAACGGGCTAAGGAAGGCACTACTGGCCAAACCTATCCCCACCACAGCCTCACAAGGCTACGAAAACCGATGATCCCAATCCCGACAATAAAATCAAATCCTAATCTACCCCCTCTCCAAACCACCATTATCAAACAACCCTAAGCTCCACCAATGAAGATTACAAAACCAATGATCCCAATCCCAACCTTAAAACAAAATTCGCATTCCCTAATTTAACAAAACTCAAATCCTAATCTACCCCTTCTCCAAATCCCCATTATGAAAACAGCCCTAATCTAGCGGAATCCGATGTAGATAACAGACCACCAACCATCACATAAACCAGATATTCAATGGTTTCATCCTACTTACTCACTACCAATTAGGAATACAAAGAAAATGATTATCCTCAACGGTGTCTTACCCATGGATAGTCAATGATGTTATCGAATTACCCAACCCACGAGCAAAACCGACAGGGGAACCCAAGAGCCTAGCTCAGTGGGTACACCCTTGAACTGTTGAAAATACGGAGCCGTGTTCGAATCCAGATGATGATGGAACTTGATGAGTAAAAGTTGTAAAACCAGCTATTTCTGAATTACCTGGGGCCGGTCAGCTTAATGATGATATCTCAAGGCCGTCGCCCTTAAACAAAAAAAAGAAAAACAAAAAAAAACAGGGAACGTAATCCAACGAAGTAACACTTCTAAAATCATCTAAAAAACACTAACAAAATGGAAACCAAGACTAATTAGAATTATGACAACCCTTACTTGTCGAATCGCCAGTCCACAAAGTACCAATTACACGTACCAACAAGACTTATCCTAACGATTAGAATCCAGGAAAACACAATCATCTATACTCGCAACGCTTGCAATTTACGGGAATACAGTCAATGACTGTCACAGCACCAGAAATCAGAAAATCTTAAGCAACACCCCACCCGAAGTAGGATTAAAGGCAACAGTGGACAGCCCCGCTCACAGCTTGAAGTCCGTTGTCAGCGACGGTGGACGATACCAATCACGGCATGAAGTCCGTCATCCATCTCCCGGAAGTCGATGTTTATCGATGTAGTCTCATCTTTCATCTCCAGCTCTTCATCCAGATAAAACTGTATCCACTCCAACAAGGCAACTGTATCTATAATCAGCGGGCAAAGCCCCGCCCACATGCTCTGTCACCTCTCCACCTCCGCCATACCCAACAGCAAGCTCTGGCTAAGCACAGCTTATCCACAGCTGCCCCTGTGCGATCCCCCGATGCCCGCGCATCGTAATAGTGATGCGCTAGCGCAGCGTTACCGCTGCTCTAAATGTGACCCTGAGGCCAAAGTTGTTCAGTTTATTTTTCTGCATAACATAGTTTTTTTGGGTTTCTTTTTTTTTTTTTTTTTTTTGGTTTGGACCTTCCTTGGTCCTTGCACGGCCGGGCCGCCCGGGAAAATAGGGTGACCCGGGCGGCCCGGCTGGTAGCCTAGTAAAACAGACCAAAAACGAAGCCACCAATCACTAAACCAACCAAAATACTCGCCTAAAACGGCGCTTATGTGATTGTTGTTGCCAAAATCTACCCGGAAAAAAAAAAAAAAA